CGATGGCCTTGGCGCCCCTGTCGAAGAGCTCCTGCGCCCGCTCTAGGGTTTGCGGCTCCTCCTCCGCCTCGCCGGGCGCCGCCGCCTCGGTAGGTTCCGGGTTCGGCGTCGGCGGGGGCCTGGGGCTGCTCCTCTTCCGGCAGCGCGCCCGTGTTCTCCGACGAGGAGTCCATGGGCGGCGTGCTGCTGCGGCGGCGGCGGTGGCGGCGGCTGGGGTTCCTTCTCGGAGCAGGGAGCGGGCGGCGGGTGGAAGGGAGGGGAAGGAAATGGGGAAATTTTGGGGTAACGGAGCGCGAACTCTCGGGGTTATGCAGGGGTTGCCGCCAACGGGGTTCCAGGTTGGGCCCGAATGGGCTTGTTGCGGCGGTGAGTGTGGGCTGTGATGGGCTATTTGTCTTGGTCCTAATGCCGCTTTCACTCTGTGGCAGAACAGTGGGCCTCTGGCGGGTCAGCTGGTTAGACCCGAGCCTCCTCCTCTTCCATTTCCCTCGGGGGTTTTTTTTTTTTTTGGTGTGCCTTTCTGTCCTGGACCGAGCTAAATTTCGCGGTTAGCGTTAATTAACCAACTAGTCCATACTCCCTCCATCCCAAATTGTAAGTCATTCCAAGAATCTTGGAGAGTCAAAGTTTTTCAAGTTTGACCAAATTTATATAACAAAATAATAATATTTATCATACCAAGTAAGTATCATTAGATTCTTCATTAGTTATATTTTCATATTATACCTATTTGATGTCATCAATCTTTGTGTTTCTCTCTATAATTTTAGTCAAACTTGAAAAAGTTTGACTCTCCAAGATTCTTGGAATGACTTACAATTTGGGATGGAGGGAGTACATTTGTTCATCTATATTGTAGTTCATCTATGGATTTTCTAAAAGTCATAGTCGGTTTGGACATAGGCTTTGCAAAATACTGTACCATGATCCGCGAACAGGACACAAGTAAAAGACGCATACTAATGCGGTAATGCTCGGCATTCGCCCATCACGCTCGAGACGGACCACCTTATGTCGCCCGCATACTTGCGCTCTGCCGCACCCGCCATGAGATGGACCCGCCCTTGCCTCACGCCCGCAGTCGATCATGCCGTGCACCCGCGCCGTGTGCACCCGCCCGGACTCACGCCCCCCGTTGTGGCCACGTTCCATCCGCCTGCCACGGCCCTTGCCGAGGTCCGTGCCACCGACGAGCTCCACACCGGCGACCTCCGCGCCACTCATGCATCGAGCTCTACGCCGACGTCAAGCTGATTCACGTCAACGAGCCTCCATTTTCGTCCAAGCAACTAGTAGATGTTGCGCTTGAAAGCACATGTTGCAATCGTCTGTTTCAAGTATTTCAGGTGTTTCAGAGGTATGTTGCTAAGTGTTTCATATGGATGTTGCAAAAGTAGATCGAGATGTTGCATGTTGCAATGGTTGTACATATATATGTTGCAAGCTTTTGTTCCCAATGTTTCATCTGTTTTTTTTACGTATATTGCAAGTGTGTCTATATGTTTCACACATATGTTTGCAAATGTTTTTATCTGGATGTTGCTTATATTTTTGCAATGGTTTCAAGTGTTTTTTAAGTTGTTTTTGCAGGTGTTTCAGATGCATGATTTAATTGTTTCATCTGCCTTCAGATGTATGTTGCAACTGTTGCATCTGAATATTTGAAAAGTAAATCAGGTGTTGCATCTCCCTCCTCGCCTTCTGCTGCCTCGCCTCGGTGTCTCCGATCCTCCACCTCCCGGCATCGGCTGGGCATTCGTCGTCTTCTCCCTCTGCTCTGACGTTTGGGATGGCGCGGGGAAAGAACTGTGGGCGCGGACGGCTGGGCGCTAGCAAGCCCTATACTAATGCATTACTTGTTCAGAACGACTTGTTTGCATTGTCAAATCTGATGCATGCATCTGAATGGACCCGGACTAACTACTTAGCTAGCTAGGTGTTTCGGAGTACAATAAGCAGTGTGCTAATCGTCAACCGCATGCTCTGCACGCATTCATATATATATAGTACTCCTTATATTAACATATACAGTACTAATAAGCAGCAGCGTGTTTATAATTATAATCTAGGCATGTGTCTTGTCTTATTATATGCTCATATGTACGTTACGTTCTGTTCGTTTGGCTGATAAGTCATGACTGAAACGATTTCAATCCGATAAACAATCTGCAAATTGGGGGCGGCACGAATATACCGGATCAAGTTGCAAAGTGCTGTAAGTAAACAATACAGTACATAAAGTGGAGGTGTGGCGTCTTGTCGCTGTTTTGACTGGGGCAGGCATCGGTGTACAGTAATGGAAAATAGTTTCTTCATCGGTAGTACCCACTCCTTTCTGCATTCCAAGATTGTTTTCGTGCAATAAATATATGGTTTTTAAATGAAAAGGTCTAACATCGTTCACCCAAAAAAAAAGTATTTTTATTTGTATGTTTCACAAGAACAAAAAAAAACATGTCACTAGCTATGTATAGCGCGCGTGTCAATAGGTTGCTTATGGTAAAAACCATCCAACCTATATAACTCCTCAATAAGCTGCGTAATAAGCCAAGTTGTAAGTATACAAAATGAGCTGAGGGACCTAGTGCCAATTAGGCCACACTAAAGCCCATAATATCTAAAAAATCAACTAGATCGATATATAAAACTACTCAATTATCAGTATGTACTTGGTCATCTAGCATGGAAAATCGTGCAGTATATATACAAAGGCACATACTAGTTATATATATTGTACCTTCATCCAGTTGCACTTGACCCGTATGGCATCATGCATCGGTCATCTCTCGAAATGCAGAGTTGACTTTTGTGGGTGAAGCTGATAACCAAAATCCCTGTCACACACGTCGTTCGATGGCTCGGCTCACCTATCTCGATCTAGCAGCTGCGGATAGATAATAAGTACACCCAGACGGCCAGACCCACGACCCAGCAGCAGCTGCGTTTTTTATCCGTTTTGTTATTGGGCCTGTTCATTTGGTTTGGGGTTGATCTTTGGTTTGAGGAGCTGGTGGTCTTTTTTTTGAAAGAAAAACACTGTTGACTGGTTAGTTTGGGCTGGCTGAAACCTACAAGCGAACATGCTGATTGTCAATTTTATCGTTCTCTCTGTGTCAGACTTGTCAATTTTATCGCTCTGCGCCTCTGCGTCCATGATGTGACCGGCAGGTTTAAATGCATACGTCATTACATGGTACATGTCGAGATCGAGATGTGGGTGGGTTCACGGCGTCAATTACGGTGCCAAAACGTGATTTCCAAAGCAAATGGGATTACAGAGGGTAACGAGAAGAAGTTGTGTATGCTTCCGAGAACAGATGTACAACTCCTGTTTTTAGTTTATTTGGAATTCTCGTGCAATTTGGTAAGTTCTATCTAGACAACAACGAAAACTATTTCAAGAGCAAGCATCATCGCTCGATCTTTTTATCCCTTATAGATCTACTATAATATAGCATCCAGATCGATCAAAGCGTCCAGAATCTTTCCATCTTATCATCATCAATTCTTGTCTTTTAATCGTCTTCACCGACTCAATCTACTTCCCTCCCCACTCCCTCCCGTGCCGCTTGACCCCTCACCTCCGCCTCCCCGGTGACTCCGACGCTGTCCACCATGGCTCTATCCTCAAATCCATCAGATGTGTCTCCTCCTAGACGTCATCTTCATCTTCGCTTGAGCCCCTCAACAGCCCCCTCCCCCCACCCCCACTCCCACATCTGACTCTGACAGCGCCCTACCGCCATCGTCTCTCGCCCAATTCCACCGCCTCCAATCCGCCATTGCCTATGATCGCCACCGCACTAACATGGTGCAGATTGTAAGGCTCTCAATGTCATACCTTGTCCTTACCCCGCTCAATCATCTTCCCCAAGTGTCCGCCCACCACCACCGCCCCTCGCCCAACATCACCAAGCCAACCTTCCACCGGTGATCCCTTTGAGTCCGCGTCACAAGTTAGCCTTGGAACCCCTAACTAGTAACCTTGCTGAAGTTAGGAAGAGGTCCACACGATATCATTGGATTAAGCAGAAAAATCAAAGTGAGCGTAAGTCTTGAATATCTCGAAAGAAGGTTCCACTTGTACCCATTTGTTTATGTGTCGAATGAACATGCTATTGCTAACACCACAATTGTTTAGGAGGAACGGAGAAAATCTAAACTCCGTACAAGTCATGACATCTTCATACATGAGGGAAAGGAACACCAGACAGACCGCATCACCATGCATCCCAGATGATAGATGAATCGGCGCGTGCAAACTGAATGTTGGTCTGTCAAGCGCCCGAGCAACAACGAGCCTGTCAATAAGAGACGATGATGTGATGAGCAGCCATGTTTCCACAAGGGAACGGGACACATAGAACATGAACTGAGAGCTTATATGTAGTGTTGTTTTTATAACATGGGAGGAATGTAAATGCTCCCGAATCAGGAATGTAGACGGAGGATGTTCCTGACGTAACGCTCATGGAATGAGGAGCGCGTGGCCATGTTTCATGTGTTCCGGCTGGGCATGTGGTGTACCACCGAAAGCCATGCCTCCCTCTCTGAGATGCCGGTGTACTAGGCATGTGTGCTTGCGAGCGCGTGAGTGTCCACCGATCCCGTCCGTCCTCACGAGCGGCCGCCTCCCGTCCGTCCGTCCGCTGCTCACCCCGGCCGGTCGCAGTGGTAGTGGCGGCCGTCGTCCTTTTGTTGCCGCCATGCTCGCTCCCTTGTTCACGTTCGTCAACGGCCGGGGCGTCAGCGCGGCTCAGCGCAGCGCAGCCCACAGATCGGCGGGGCGCATCGCATATATCCGCTCTCGCTTATCCACGCACCACCACCGCTCACTTCCTCTCCATCACACGCCCGCTTTTCTATGCCTGCTTCCTTCTCTTCTCCCCCCTCGCTGTCGCTTCCTTCCATTCCTTCCTTCCTTCGCCGCCAAGTAACCAATCCATCGACCGTCCACCAAGAGCTGCAGGATCCAGAGAGGACAGCAGAGACGGTAGACGATGAAGCTGGTGTGGTGCCCCGACACGGCCTCCAAGGCCTACATCGACGGCGTCCGTGCGATGGCCAACGACTCCGCCGACGGCTCGCTCGAGCTCGTCGCCGCCATGGCCGGCGGCTGGAACGCCCAGCTCATCGTCGACGCCCCGTACGTGGACGCGGACGCCTCGCCGTCGCCGTCTAGCAGCCGCTGCCGCCCGCCCGCCACCAGCCTCGCGCTCACCGCCGCCGTGCGCCGCACGGGCGGCCGCTACGCCCTCCTCGACGTCGACATCGAGGCCGAGTCCGCGATGGCGCGGCTGGAGGGCGTGGACCTCCTCGTGCTGGACGCGGCGGCCGTGCTGAGGGCGGCGAGGCCGGGGCCCAGGGGCATGGTCGTGGTGCACCACGGCGACACCAGCATCGGCGGCGTCCGGCGTCGCGCCGCCGTGGGGGACGATGGCGGCCGGGACCAGGGTCGTGCGCGCGGCCTACCTCCCCATCGGCGCCGGCGGCGTCGAGGTGCTGCACGTCGGGGTCGGCAAGGGGCCCAGCCTGCCGACGACCACGCAGCAGCTGCACGGCCACAGAAGGAGGCACCCCGCCGGAGGCCGTGGGCGGTGGATCCGCCACGTTAACCACCGCACCGGCGAGGAGCACGTCTTCCGGCGCCAGTAGCCTACTACTGCGGCTTGCTCCACCGCCGCCCTTGGTAACTGGGGACCTGGTCCACCAGGCTCGTACAGCTAGCTTGCCGCATCAATCGAAGTCAACGGAAGTTCGTGTCCTCCTCCCAATTAACATGGCTAAGCTAGCCTAGCTGTTAATTTCTCGTTAGATTCGTTGAACCTGCCCGCGATAGTGACCTGCTAGTACTAGCACTACGACGATGCTTCCTATTAGCTCTCCTTAATTTTGTGAATTACTGATGATGCGTGCTTCTCTCAAACATAATAATCCTGAGCTCTTCCGTAATTTCTTTTCTCCTGCAAATGTGTCGTCTCCGTCGTACACTCATCCATGGTTCATATTTATACTGCATGTTTCATTAGTTTCCGTGTACGGAGTATATGTATTTTTTTGATCATCTCATCGCTGCAAAGCCATGGCATAATATGTTTCATGGTTTCATCAACTGCATCCCATGCATCCTCTAACTTTGAGCGGTTCTGTTTGATTAGGTCAGCTCCAACAATGATATTTCAACTACCTTATATATAGAGATCTATCTTACCATTTATGCTTATGGGCGAGGAAGATCTTAGCATTTTGTTTATGTGTGAATAATATAGCTCAGGATTTTGCTTATGCGGAATAGAGAGGAGAGAGAAATAGAAGAGAAATATCCAATTTCCTAGTTAGGCTCGAATGAACTACTATGAGACTATTATTAGAGCCCACAACAGTGACGTGTGGGTAAGGAAAAGAAATATGTGAGACCTATGTTGTGATACTTAGATTATTGAAGAATTTATATTATGTACTACCCCCTCCATTCCAAATTATATAAGACGTTTTGTTTTTTTTTCTATATACATTCTTAATCGTTATCAGGAAGTAGAAAGGTCTTCACATCCTTTACCTTTCCTTCCATAAAGAAATCCTGCCACAACCTTATTACCATCATCATGTGCTTCCACCTCTATTGCATAGCCGACGGAGATCCTCACGAGTAGTCCAGTATATGTCTTGGAAATCTAAACCTAAACCACTGGCACAGTTACACGGTCCTTCGCACACTTGCCATTCTAAAATCGAATCCTTATTGACCCACAACTTTCGTGAGTAGCCTTCTAGAGATCCTACACCAAACATAAATCAATATCAGCATGACAGATTGACAACCTTAATGAGAGTTTCATCTGCATTTAAGAGGCTGCAACATAAGCATTTTTTACGATGTGGCAATGTTTTATAAGAAGATAAAGAAGAATTGGGTTTTATTGGGATGAAACTCTGTTGGGTCAGTTTGTAACTCTAGATGGTCATGAAACTCTGTTGGGTCGGTTTGTGCCTCGCGGGCACGGCCTTGCGGGCACGACGCGGCGGTGCGGCCTCGCGGCCATGGCGCGGCGGCGTCGGTCCCCTCCCATGGCAGCAGGATCTGGTGGCGGCGTGATGCGGGGACGCCGGATCCGGTGGAAGCGCAGCTCGGGGATGGCGGATCCGGTTATGACGAGGCGCGGGGAAACCAGATCTACTGGCTCACGGTGCACGGCGGCCCCTGTGCACAGGGAGGCTGCAGTGGAGGTGGGGCCTGTGAGGAGCAGGCGGGCTCACCGGTGGGCTCTGAAATGGGCTCGCTAGTGGCCTTTCATTTTTTTCAATTGATTTACAGATGCGGGCAAAGCAACCGCCTCCATAAATCACCATTAACGGTGACCTTTGATTGGAGGCGGTTGCAATGTTCGCCTCCATTAATCAAAAACGCCTGCCTCCATTAAGTTTTATGTAGGGGTCTCCAATTTGCGATGGTCATCCAGACCCCGATACAAACCCTAGGCTTAGCTTAGGATCTCATATTCCAGCAATACAAACCAACAGAGCACAGGACGTAAGGTTTTACGTCATCTTGATGGCTTGAACCTATATAAATCTTGTGTGTCCTACATTTCTATTACCATCTAGTTCTTGATCACGCGCACCTCTACCAATCAATCTACCATCGTGCGTATATCCCTCGGTGGACTGCTAACGATATTTAGTCGACAGATTGCTGCTTATTATATACTTAGGGTTGTTGCTCTGAGATGTGGGCTAGGCCTTCTAAGTTTACATGGGCTACGAAAGTTCAGGTCCCTACGGGGCACCCACGGGTCATGACCCGGCCCTAGCACCGCTGGAATTCGAGTCCCCGAACCTAAGACCCGCAGCGGGAAATTTTCCCCAACCCCCGACCCCACCCCTCATCGGGTCCAGAACACATGCAGACCCACCGAGAAACCACCCCATTGCCATGCTTACCGCCATGTTGCCCTTGGCCCCGAGGTAAGAAGGCTCTCCTTCATGCTCGCCACCACCACACTTCAATGCATGCAACAAGAGGTTGGATCTAGTACATGCCGCACCCTTGGCATGATGTTTGCCGACCTCCACGTCATCATCGAGAATGCACCACCACATCTTCCTCGTCTGCGCCATCCGTGTTACCACCTTCAAGTCAAATAGCACCTCCACTTTCAAATCAAACAACCAAAAACAAGCGGATCAGATCGAAGGCCAAGTATCAATGGAGGTGGAGGTGGGATGGAAGCACCTTCGGTGGAGGTGGGACAAGGCCTGATTCGCTGGGTTGCTGCCTCTCGTTCCTACCCACTGGCCGGATCTCGTTGCTCCTGCTTTTCGGCATCATGTAGAAGACCGAGGGGAAGACGGGAATTGAAGGGCCGAGGACTATATTGTGCTTGGGCAGATGGTGGCAGATGCATCACTCTGGATCTTGCGATAGGGAGCACTTGACAGAGGCGGTGGTGCTTGGGAGGCGGCTGGATCTAGCATGTCAGAGGAGGCGGTGGTGGCAAGGATACTATGGTGGAGGGGGCAGCAGTGGTCGTGGGAGGGTGTAGGAGATAGACCGAGCTGTGGAGCAGATCGAGAGGGTGGGGAGACTAAGTGTCAGATGATGTGGCGTCAGTGTGAAGGAGATAAAGCTAGCAAGCGATGCGGTTAAGGAATGTAGTTAGTGTTTTTAATGGGTTGGATGGGTACTTTCGCAGGCATCCCATCTGGGACACCCATCTCGGACACCCGTGTCTCCTAAGCTAGTTATTGTAGTAGTGGCCAACCCGTATATCTTCTATTCTGCAGGTTTCTCGATGAAATTTGGGCATTTAAGGTGTCCTTACCGATCTAGAACAGCCCCAAGTGTTCCCTCCCAGACGTGCTCCTTCCCGAGAAGCATTTCTAGATTCTTCATGGTCAATCTGTTGAAACCGGCTAAGCCAATCAATCCTCGAGTTGTCCGAATGAATGATTATCGCGTGATGCGGACATGCTGGCCGTTTGGATATGGATCCAGATTTGCATCGAAATGAATATCGTCGGTGTGCAACAAGGATGTTGCACACTATTTATTTGACCTAAAGGACATGTGCCCGATGTTTTCGCAAAAAAAAAAAGAAGAGGACATGCGCCCTATGCATATCTATTTTAGATACACATACGGATGCGTGCCAAGGAGGAGAGAGACGTAACATCATTTTTTTACTCTAAACGTTTTGGAGTACATGCCTGTAGGGTCAAATTTAACTTTATCCAGGGACGCTAGCTGCATGTGGCTAGCGCGCAACGCCGGCCGCAAGTCCAAATTATTGCACGCCTGTACTGTAGCTGACCAACGATCCCACAAACACGGTGCTGGGCATAGCAGCGCTGTCGGCTATATAGAACAGAGCAAGATGCGTCATCTGCGCGCATGCATCTAGTCTCGTGTATGCAGGACAGTTGACTTCCATGGACGCGGATGGGACTGTGCCTGTCTGCTCGTGTCGTCAAGACGTTTCCTGGAAAGAAAGGGGATCGGAGGAGAAGAAAGAGGTGGGGAGAATATGTGAGGTCAGCCATTGCCGGCCGACGCGATGAGAAAAACGTCGTCACGAGAGTCTCACTGGCATATAACACACACACCACACACTGACGACGACGCACCATCTTCTCCGGCCAACACTGCGCAGCTCCGATCCACTGCTCGCCTCTCATCACTCCGGGCGGTTCACTTCATTCTGCTTTGAACTCAGGTCCGGCCACCCGGCCGATCTGCTCCACCTCCGACTCTGAGCTGCAAACAACGAAGGTAAGCAACCTGCAACCCATGACCGTGAGCACCCCACCCCAATGCAAACCTAGCTTCATTTACGTACATCCTCCTCTTCCCATGCCCTCGGAGTCTCGGATTTGAAAACGATGGTGCGAAGCTCAACTCCGGCGATCAACCGCTGTGCGTCACGGCGGCGCGGTCAATTGACAACCGACGCCGCCTTCCTCCGTCATCTTTATGACCCACCCTGTCTGCGTTCCGTCCGGCATCAGCACGTCCGGCGTGGGTTCATCCGATGATTTCCAGAGGAACGAGTTGATGCCGTGAATATACTAGCGGAGGGTGCAATCTCATGATGGACGGGTTGGTTCCCTTCGCCAAACCTAACAATCCTTTTAGGTCCGGATGCTGGATCGGATGATTCCAGTCTGTGCCATTCCGTGAACCAAACGTGCTGTGTCTCTCTTGCCCAGAACACCAAACGGGCCAGGCCAACAGCCCAAACCACCGAAGGTCCACACGTGCACCTAAGGTCCAAAATTCTCCTCTCAAAAAAAAAAAACCCCATAAGGTCCAAAATTCATAGCCGGTGGTACGGAAAATAGGTTGACTCTAAATGGTGTTTGGCTAGTTAAGTAGTTATATATGGGTGGAGAGATAAGGATGGACCACCGGATGTGTTGAGCCCATGGATTAGTGGCCCATATTTCCATGTTTTTGAGGCATATGCTGCATATTTATGGGGATTTAATTAAAAATACATTTTCAAAGTTTGAGGATAAGGAAGACACTGTCAGAAAAGTTTGTGACCGTCAATGCATTTTACTGTGATCTGCACAGTGCACTATCCGACTCTACTATTGACTTGCATGCATGTTCCCT